GGGTGGGTGGGGCTCTGAATGTGGTGCTCCAGGTGTGCTCTGACCAGCACAGGGCAGAATGGGGACGGTCACCTCCTTCATTCTCCATTCCTTGCCTCTATTAATACAGCCTGGGAGAAGCCATGCCTCACTGGAGGCTACTGGTTAGGGCTTGAAGTCCAGTAGGATCCTGTCTGTACCACATGGGCTGCTCTCAGAGGAGACAAGTATTAAGAATGATGAGCTCCTGAGGAAGGGCTCCCTGTGCTCTAGATAGTGCCTTTCACGGAAGCCTCTGAGGATGGTTACCAAGTTCTGGGCGTGGGGCCTTGGCTGTTGGCCCTTGTCTGCTTGTTGTAAGCACTGTAGGGCGACCAGAGGAGGAGAAGTCTCCTCTGTCTATGGGGCAGGACAGGCTCTAAGGGGGTGGGGTGGGGGATTTCTATAATCAGAAAGGTGGGAGTGCAGGGGGCCACACATCACCCTCATCCTTGGCCCTCCCGATGCCTGGCACAGAGTCTCCTCATCCAGCCCCTCAACTTGCCCTCCCAAACCTGGGGTGAGGGTACTTGTATTCTCTGATCCTCCTTCCTCACCTCCCAGCCCCACGCCAGGATCTGGCTCTGGGCTATTACCCACCAACTGGAATGAGGAAAAGCAAGTGCAGCGGCCCTTCTCTCCACCTACGCACCCCTCCGCCACCCACCTGCCTGATGCCAACTCAGTTCAGCCCTCTTCGGCCACCATCCAGTTCCTGGTCCTGCCCTGCTCTGCAGCTCTGGCCTCAGGCAGCAGTGCCTACCTCTCCTAGTAAGCGAGGCCGAGGGGCCTGGGCCCTCTTGGGCCTCACTGTGGCCTCCGAGCACCGGTAACTCTTAGGTTCCCACTCCCCACCTCCAGCCACCTTTCCAGAAAGTGCACAGTGCTGACTCACACTTTCCTAGAGGGGAGTGGACATGCCTGCTTGCTGGGGCTTCCAGGCTCACCCCTCAGCCATTTCTAGCCCTCCCAGGCCAACCCAGACGGCCGAAGTCAATGAGACAGCCTTGTCCAGAGAACTTGGGAGAGCGGCCTTCCAGCCTGAGCTTGTCCTGTCTGCCTGTGTGACCAGAGTGAATCCTCTTGCCTCTCTGGCCCTTAGTGTTCTCATCTGAGAAACAGGGCTACGTCTGTCTGGTCCAGCGTGGACTAGAGGGTTCACAGAGCACCGTCAGCCAGCCCGTGACTCCTTTGCTCTTCACAATCCCACTGGGAAGGGCGGGCCTCAACCCTACTCCCCAGCACGCAAGGCCACATCCCTCTCAAGGCCCCACTTAGCCCACCCTCCTCTAGATGCTGGGGCCCCTTTGAGGTCCACGTGAGGACCACGAAACTAGGTGACCTCTCTGGGACCTTCAGGCTCTGACCTCCATGGTCCTGTGACCCCGACACTTAAGACGGCACACGTGACCACGCCCTCTGGGCTAAGCTCAGCTATGCAGGGTATTGTGTCACCTCAGGCAAGCCAGGGCACATCAATGAGCCCCACTTTCCTCCTCTGAGATGCGGGAGACTCACTGTCTGGCCCCTCAGCTCCCAAGGCTGGTGTGAGCTATCAGAGTGCCACAAAGAAGGTCGTGACCTTCCCAGGCGACCCTACAGCTGTGCTCCAGAGGCCCGGGCAGCTGGTGCCACCCAGGGGCCGGCAACCCCAGAACTATGGACCTGACTGAGGGACAGAAGAATAAATGAGAGAGGAGGCACACCTGCTTTTCTGAGCCTGAGTGCAGGTGCAGAACAGACACTTTCTCCTCCTCCTTCCTTTCCCCCCACACTGCCCAGGATCAGCCACACCAGCAGGCCTCCCGAGCCCCCTGAGCAGCACCAGGTGTTTCCGGGCGAGCCTCCCTAGAGTCTGGATCCAGCTCGGGAGCAGTGCTCAGAGCACAGCCAACCTCACATGGACCCCTCAAGACAAGCGGGTGCCTGAGGGGGAACCATGGAAAAGTGGGCCAAAGCTCCCAGCCCAGTGAGCTCAGGCCGGGGTCATTCACGGAGTTGGGGAGCCTGGGGGCCAGAAGGGGCTGAATGAGTCCTGCTTTTCCCTGGGCATGCTAGATGACCTTAACCAGTCTCTGCCTCTCTGGGTAGCAGATTTCAACTTAGAGTGAGCAGAGGGAATGGACGCCCCTGAGATCCCCCAGCCCTGGAGCTATATGTGCCTCTTTTCCCTGGATGTGGCTTCTCTCCTAGGCGAGCAGACGGGTAAGGACTGTGCTGCCTGCATTCCCGGCCTACGCTAAAGCCCTTCTTTGCTTCTGTGTCTCAGTGTGGCTTTGCTGATCCCGGGGCCCTGACTGCCAGTGTGGGCGTTACTGCAAGTGGAGGAGGCTTACAGCAACACGCAGAGGCCACCTGACACGGCTCTGGTTCTCTGCTACAAACACACAAACAAAGAAACACACGTGTTTGATGAAGGGTAAAAACTTTAAAAAGGAAAAGGTGAGTTCACATCTGGACACTCACACATGGCACCCGTGACTGCACACACGTGGGCACGCACACAGACATACAGACATACCCCACAGGCCAGCACACACTCACAGCCTGACACACCAGCATGCACACACTCAGACGCCCCACAACCAGCACATACCGCACACACACACACGAACAAAGGTGCAAGTACAACAAAGGAAGTGGAAGAAAAGTGTTACCCATGAGTAGCCGCCGTTTCACCCGCTTGTCCACATCAGCTACTGACGTGGCATTGAACTGAGAGCGCTCAATTGCAGCCTCATCCTTCTCTAAAACACAAGTAAGGGACAAACACGGAGCCGGTGGTTAATGAGAGCCCACTTCCCGCGGCCCAAGACAGTCAGCCTCTCGGCGTGGCGCACACAAAGCCAACACAGCATGCTGGGCCAGCGCGGTGTCCTCGCCAAGGGGCTAATCCCAGGAACCTCCAAGGTGGGCATGTTCAGGGCAGAGCAAAGAGGCAGCAGGGCGGGAGGGGGTGCAGAAAAGGGGATGACCACAAAAGGACACAGATGGGACACAGGGTCCATCTGCAAGCAAACAGAGGAGGGGGCTAGGGTCAGAGTGGACCCATCTGCCGAGGGCCGTAGAAGCAGACAGCCCCACCTTGGTGCTCAGGAAGACACAAGTGATTACAGATACCCCCGGCTCAGGCTGGAGAGGCAGGCACAGGACAAGGCACAGGACAAGGGGACAGGGCTGCGAGGTCCGGTGATGGATGCGCTTGGACAGCAGACGCCCTGTCTCAACGGCGTGACAGTGTGTCAAACACTCATGCAAAATCGAGAACAAAACATACGAAGGAACAAAAGCACACACACAACAGTGGATCCAATCGAACAGACACAGAAAAACCACGGGATCGATTTGGGCAGCGCTGGTTGCCTGCTTGTCTATAGAGAACTAGAGCTAGACATTCAAGTGCTCAACGAGGGGTTGCAAAGAGGGGTCAGTCTTTTCGGGAGCGTGCGGAGAGAGACGGCCAGGCGGGCCAGGGGACATTCTGGGCACTCGGCACGAAGCTACGCCAAGATGCTTCCCGTGGAGGAGCACGTTAGGTTAGCCGGTTTGCGTATCTTTGCTCAGTGGGCGATGTGTGGAGCCTGAGGAGCAGTGAGCAAAGTCAGATGAAAGGCTCTCCTGGCCAGCAGGGAGCCACAGCCCAGGAGCTGGGTCTGGAAAAGGATTTCTAAGGGGAGGGGAGGGAATGGGGGAGGAAAGTTACATTAGAAAGTAGATCCAAGCAGGGACCTTCACATGCAGCAGACACTAAAAGATAAAAAAATAAGGAAGGATGAGTCGGGTCGACAAAGACAAGATGTGTTAGACGAGGCTGGGTGTGTGTCTGGCCCAGCAGCTGTTTGCGCTGGTCCGCAGCCGGCAGATGCGGCCCCACTGCAGACGCAAACACTGAGGCGGACCCCAGCAGACGAGACAGGAGGGGGCCGGGGGGCCCGGGAGAGCCCCCCGCAGGACAGCGGAGACAGGGAGAGAGGCGGGACAGGAGGTTCTAGATGGGATCAGGCTGCAATAGAGACACTGGTCTGAGACCGGGTTTTGCTTTGAATTTTTTTTTTTTTTTGGTTGTTTGGTTTGCCTTTTGGCTCTGAAAATAATTAATGAACGTCAGTTATCAGACAAGACAGGCAATCAGGGACCATCACCAGAAAAGCAGGAAGAATGAGGTAAAATGAAACCAAAAACGGCTGTCTGAGAGGAGAGACCACACAGAGGAAGGGAGAACCAGGCAGGCAGCAGCTGGGATGACAGCCCGGGACCAGGAGGGGACCGCTGGGGCCCCGCCCGGCGCCTCTGCCTGACTCCCGGGTACGAGGGAGCAGAGTCACAGGGGACAGAATGCGACAGCAAACTCTGGGCTTCATGGCTTTGCTCGCTTGCTTGAAAATCCCTCAAGAAATATCTTCCGAGTTGATAAGAAGAAATGGGGCCTTTTTTAAAAATAAACATGATCACTGACCTGTGGGTTTCTAAAGTTTGCCAGCGCTGAAGAGAAAGAAGAGGATGAACTCTGGGCACCAACTGCGAACTTCCTCTTTTTCTCAGTTAAAAAATTTGCAGTGATATTTGAGTGGGGAAAGAACCTCCTTGTGCTTATACATGAGGTAATCACAAACAGTCCAGCCTCCCCTTGGAAACAAGGACCAGGAGGAAGGCGATGACCGAGGCTCAAATGGAGACTCCACGTAACAGGCGAGGCGACGGGAGGGGCATCGCTGAGTGGAAGGGACTCCAGGCAGGAGAGGAAATCTGCTGAGGGTCCCAGGAGCTCGGGAAGGGAAAGCAGTAAACACCCAGACCCACCCAGGATCCACAGCATCCCATCTCCCCCGGTGTTCTAGACAACGGAGACTTAAAGCCTCCCGGTTTTCCAGACTGCTGTGGGCAGCGCAGGTCACGAGGCTGGGTAGGGTAAAGGAATCTGACTGTGTCTCCACATTAGGGGAGGAAATACCTGTGCTTCAGGAACAGAGGCCGCCCTCCTTAGGCACACATAACTCCCTCCCCGCCACCGCCTACACCGCCGAGGACGAGGACCCGCAGAAAACCCGCAGTGACACAACGCAGGGGCGCTTGGTCCTGGTGGCTGAACGATCCCAAGTAAGTCTCCAGAGAAAGCTTCCCCGGGGACGCCCTCCAGCCCCATCAGTACCATGGGGCGTTCCCATTCTGTTTCCCTGAAGCTTCCTTCTTGGAAACCGGGACACGGAGGGGTGTGGCTGGCGTCAAGGCCACATGGTGCACCCAACGGGCAGGTGGCGCGAGGGTGCTAGTGCGCAGCAAGGGCACCGACTTACCAATGCAGGTCCGACCGTCCGAGTGGAGGGCGTACTTCTGGTGGCAGCCACACGTGGGGCCCGTGTCCGTGTCCTCACAGCTGTGCTGGCAGCCTCCGTTTCCATAGTTACAGGTTACTAGTTAGGCCCAAAGTGTACATACGTGTGTATAAACAGAATGACAACAAAAATGATTAGTTTATCAGTGTTGGCTGTTTCTTGTAAGGGACGGGGGAGGGAAGTGAGGGCACAAGATAGTTAGTGACTAGACACACATTTCCCGGGACTTCAGCCCCTCGAGGTCTTGGATGGAACTGCTCATTCCCTAGAGGTGACCTGGGGTGGGACAGAGAGTGGACTTCGGGTCATCTGGGCTTCGAACACAGCTGGCACACAGCTGACACACTCGGACGGTGTTAGCTGGAGAAAGGGATACGCTAGACAATTTTATCCTTCCTAGATTGCAAAAGACACTTTAAAAGAGCCTGTTTCGATGGGCAAATGTCTGTTAACACCCGGTATACTGAGCAAGTGGTGGTGGGGGAGCCCGTGGTGAGAGGGGACCCTCATTTCCTCAGTTGTTGCAGAGCTTTCTTTCCTCTGCCGATGTCTTGCGGTGTAAGGAAGGATGTCCCTACAGATGTCCATTCTCTCCAAGCCCCAGCTGCCATCTCAAACTCTATGCCCTCAAAGCCCTAATCTTCCCAAGGTGATGTCCAAACAGACAGAACTTATGCAAATTAATGTCATCTGAGGAGCAGTTTTGAAAATGACCTTTTATTTCAACATGTTACAAAGTTGGCGATGCCTACGGCCTGGACGAGCTGGCGCCTGTCAGCCCAGAACCTTAAGATGTTTCACAGCATCAGCAACCTGGGTCGGCTGAATTAGGGCTGAACAAAAAGGAGCCAGTCTGAAGTAGAAAAAATGATAAGTTCAAGTTTATTTAAAAGAAAAGACACCATCATCACTTTCCAGGGTGAGGGATGTCACTAAGGGAGATCCAAGATCTCTGTGGGAGGGGATCCTGCAGCCCTGCTCTAAGAGAGCCTGTCATCTGTACGCAAGTGGTGCACCACGGCCTCACAGACAGGGGGTCCTCTTGGATAACTTAGCCTTTGTCCGGGATTCTATCTACTGTCTTAATTTGCTTGGCAAAACTCTAATGATGATCAAATATGTAAAAATAAATCTCAGAGCAACCACGGTCAGAGGGGCTGAGAATTCCGAACTGGCAGAGTCTGAATAATGACGCTCCAGCAGCTGACCCACGAGCAGGGCTTCTACCAGAGGGAAGTCACTCGGTGGCAACTCCCTAGTGAAGGGCTCTGAGCATTTCAGAACTGAGCCTGCAGCTGCATTTCCCAGGTACTTCTCCTTTCCCCTCCAGGGGCACTGCCCGGAGTGACGGTGGCCCCATCAGCCCGGACACATGCAGTCTCCCCACCAGCTGAGGAGGAAGGACACAAAGAGAATGGTCCTGCTCAGTGTCCCAGACGCCGTCCTCAGCAACCACAGGCTCTAACCGGTGGCCTCTTCTGCAGGAGCTAACGACCATCCGAAGGAGGGACTGAACATCCAGGGTGAAATTTCAAGGACCTGGAGAACTCCTTCAAGAAACGCAACTGGGGCTTCGGGCACAAAGCCCTCGGCCCCTTCTCCACAGAAGCATCTCTTCTCTTAGCATTCTTGGGAGCCCGGCAGACTGGAGTCACATTCTCATCTCTGAAATGGAAGGGCCCCAGGGAAGCCAAGAGTCCCAGGGGGCTGCCGCTTCACATGGATCTCAGGTGAGGGGAGAGACCCAGGCAGAGCCCCACTGTGGGCTGGACATCACGTGCCTTTCCAGACTGAGAAAAGCCCCATTTCAGAGTGGGCAGGGATGGAGCTGGTGAGCAGGCAGTGAGAATACCGCAGATAGTTCTTCCAAGCTCTGGGCTCCAGGACTGGGCTGTGCCTTGCAAGTGACTCTGAGGACAAAGGCCTGTCTGGGGCAACTCGAGGGAGGGCCATGCTAAGGGTCCTTTAGTCCCTCCACAGAGGTGTTTGTGCATCCCACAGCCCCCCAAAGACCAAGTACATGAGCTCCTGGAGAGCCTACAGGTTGTACACAGAAATAAATACCTGAGCCCTGAGCTCTCGGAAGACCAGGAGAAGGATGGAGAAAACCTCCTCTGACCCTGGGCTAGGTCCTGGGCCCTGGGGGGGATCAGAGAGTTTGGTGCAGAGCTCCTGTGGCCCCGCTGGTCCAGGAAGGCTGGCGAGGCCAGGCCTTAGCTCCCAACCCAACTCCAGATCCAGAATTTCCTGGACCTCCAGTGCTATCAAGGGCTAGAGTGAAAGTCTCAGAGCTAATGTTACACTCACCCCCTGCCCACTGACCATACAGAAGGAACCAGAGCTGACTGGCCAGACAGCCATCTGTGCAGCCCCTTCACAGGAGCGCTGCAGGGCAGTCACTCACTCCTTGGCCCAAGATTGGTACCAGACTCTCCACACACCTGGGCACTGCCCAGCCACCTAGCGAGGAGGGTGGGGCTGCTGTTTCTTACACCAGCAAACGTCCCGGCTTAGCTCTTCGCTGTCGGGGTGGGGGAGGGGGAGTCGGCCGCTCACGGAGCGCTGCCTGCTCCTGACCTCTCAGACCACGTCGGCCCCTCAGGAGATGCTCTCTGAGCAAACTGTCCCCTTGTAGCACTTGTCCAAGATGGCATTAAGGAATCAGGTAGCGAGTCAGTCAGTCCAGCCTCTTCCCATGGCTTGCAGCTCTCCCCCAGCACCTAGCTCAGGGCTTGGCCAGAGCGGGCGTCAGCCGGTCTGACTGAAGGGGTGTGCCTTCCTGCCAGCCGAGCCTGTCAACAAGCCTGCCCACTCCACACATGCTTGCCCTTGGCCTTTGTCCTGAGGAAGCTCCCCAACAGGGAGGACTGGGAAAGCTGGGGTTATTCACCTTCCGTTCTGAAAGCTGCCAGGTGGCAGAAGGTTTCTCTGCAGCTCAAGGCATCGTCAAACTGTCAGAGACAAGTGCTTCATAGCAGGCATAGAGGAGAAGAGGGCCTGGCTGGAGTCCTGGGGCTGGAGCTGAGCATTTCCCAGTCAACTGTCCCTGTTTGGTCCTGCCTTTGGTGACAGCATACATGTTTACCTTTGCTGTCCCAGAGGAAAGACCAGGAACAAAGAGGAAGGCTGGTTTCCATCCTGGACCACATCTGGGCAGAAGGAAGCGTCTTCACTTTGGGGAACGGACAGATCACGAGTGGGGTTGCAGCATGGGCTCCTTGGAGACAGGGACTGTGTCTGATGCATGTGGGCCCCCAAGGCCTTGGAGACAGTTTGAGGGGAGCATGAGCTGGGAAAGGTGTGGCAAGGTGCCCAAGGGGAGCTGAGCACAACTGAACCACAATGACTACGGGAGATAGACCAACAACAGCCAGCTTTCTCCGGCGAATGAAGGATGGGAAGGAAGGCAGTTTTCCTTATGAGAGCTGGTCAGCCTCAGTCTCCCATCTCAATAGCTGGGCTGGGACCGCTTTCTCTATTGAGAGTTGGAATCGGACTCCTCCAAACCATTTTTCTGCATCAGAAAGTGGGCCTGCTATGAAGCACTTGTCTCTGACAGTGATAGGCAGTACTCACACCAGCCTCCCTCAGCTCTTTGCAGACACAGGGCAAGCATTACATCGATCTGGGTGTCCCAGCTGCACTGGGTAGAGGCCACATCCCTCCATCTCCCTACACAGCTGTTGGGAGGCTGCACTGGGTCTGAAGCTTTGGAGGACTAGCTGAGTGTGTTCAGCCCTGTCCTACTTGGTTTGCTGGTTCCCACTCCTCCTGGCGAGCTGGGTGACCACGTTAAGAGGTGCATTACACTTGAGCCCTGCAGGCTGACCTCCAAGCGGGTCCTAAGGTGGTATCTTTGGCCAGAGGCCTCATTCAACCCAGATCTTCCAGGATATCACCATTTACGGTGAGCCTTGTAGGGGCAGACTGAGAGTTCTGATCTTTGATCCTGGCAATAAAGTCAGCACAGCCCAGGCTGGGGTGCCCCAGAACCAAGCTCCTTTTCTTCTTTATACCATCCTCTTACCAAGGGCTGCCCTGGCCCATCGAGAAACCCATAGTCCCTGCATTCCCACTAGAGAGCTTGAGCTCAGGGCCAATGCGTCTCTGGGGTCGGGGGAAGGAAGGGGTTACAATAAGCACTGGTGGGGCTATCATATGTAGGGGCCCTACATAAGATACAGCCGCTCTGGGGCTGTGTCCATCAGTGGTGTTATGCTAGGTGAGGGAACCCCCAAGTCTGGGTTTGACAGCCCCTGTTCCTCGTGCCTCTCCAGGCTCCCTCAGGGGCCCTGCCCTTCTCTCCACCCCGAGAGGCTGAGAGCCCTCCCCGGCCAACGTCCAGTAGACTGGACAGCCCCCCACAAAGCAATGGCAGGAGACGCGTGGGGGTGTCGGACCCCTTTGCCTCCATCTACCTACGTGTGCAGTCCTTCTGGTTTTGGGCAAGGTCAAAGCCGGGCCTGCAGTCACAGGCCACCCCACCTTTGGGCGTCTCCCGGCAGATGTGGGCACAGCCATGGTCTTTGTTCATGCAGTTCATACCCTCTGGGAAGAGAGACAGACAAGAGAGAGGTTGGGAACCGGGGAGAGACGGAGAGAGAAAATTTCAGGCTGAAAAGAGATGGCTAATGAAACATCACCCTCCAATGGTGTGTTCTTGGGCTGCTGTTGGCACAGGTACTGCACACATGCACGGGTGTGCACCTTGCCGTGCAGATGGAGTTCCCCCAGGGAGAGCCCAAGGACACAGCGCCCAGGGCTAGAGCTGGGCTTCAGTCTGAGAGCCATGCTGTAAATGACCCTGCGGGACCCACGGAGGAAACGCTCCTGTCCTGTCAGATTATGGGGTCTGGTCTACGGAAACGCTTTTAGACCAGAGCTCTAGACAGTTTCCCCACTAAAGCAGGCCTGGGTGGCACTGAAAACGATTTTCAGTTTGCACAGGGATGCCCCGTGCCCTGTGAGGCAGGCAGAGACTTTCATTGCTGGCTGGGCCCAGAGAGGAGTGCTGATGGGCCAGAGTGCTGGGTGGGTGGGCTGCAGCCCTGAGCTCACGTGCCCTGGCCCGCCTCCAGTCGTCACAGCCGGGGCACTGTCAGTCCCACCTAACCACCTCTGTCACAGTGTTTCTGCACAAGCCAGAGGCTGCCACGCTGGTCCACTGGACCTCAAGGCAGCAGAGGCTCCTCGCCAGCCCCACGGCCAGGCCCTAAACTGCACACCACCTCCTGCCGCCAGGGAGGTCTCAGCATGTACACGGTCATTGCAGTGCTCCCCAGGACTCCCAGAATCCTCGTCCCCACAGGCAGAGCCCTGCAGGACCTGGCGCTGGCCTCCAGCTCCACCCACGCACCCCAGCACAGGCGCCCCACGGCGCTCATGGAGCACACACGTTACTGTGTTCCTGGTCTTAGCCTGAGATTCCTGCTGGTTGGCAGGTGCTACTTTTTAAAGCAAAAATGTTTGCAAACCTGCACCTTTTTCTCCGAGGCCTCATCTTAAAAGGGCAGTCAGCGACTGGCCTCACTGCTGGTTGGGAGGCTTTAGAAAGAGGAGATGGCCACAGGGTGCCAGGGCTGGGCCACCCCACTGCCTGCTACAGCGCCCCCACCCTCTAGCGCAGTGAGGCTTTTTCATCTGGAGCCTCGCCCATGTGGGACCTGCCCGGCAGGCCCTTCCAGCTTGTCCTCCTGGCCAGGATCAGAAGCCCTGTCCCTCTCAAGGCCAGTCGGATGCCCTGTCTCCTCTCCTCCCAGGTTCCCAGAGTCTCCGTTGCGGCTCCCAACCCCGGGCAGTCACAACACCCTGTGCATGTTCTGGGGTCCCTCGTTCCCTGTGAAGGCAAGCACCCCCTTCAGAGACACCTGCCCAAGGGCCCATGGTGCACTGAGAGGCACCACGAGGACTTGAACCAGAGCCGTGGACTACAAACCCCTGCCCCCTCCTCCACCCAAGGCCTCGCTGAGTGCAGAGCTGAGCTGCCCATGGGTTTCAAGGGCAGGGACTATGGACCATTAGCCTGGAGTCCCTAGAGGCCTGGCCTCCACACCCCGCCCAGTTAGTGAGCACCAAGAATTATGCTGAAACACATCTGAGGGCGTGGTGTGATCGGGGAGAACAAGGGTCCCCTGGGTGGGCCACTCAGCCCCTCTCCTCAGTCAGCACAGTTTCCGGGACATCCCTCTCTCCCCCTGAAGGCTTGACCTCCCCTCTCTGACTGCCTGGAATGGCTGGGACCCCCTTCAGTTGACCCCAGCCGATGTTTATCTTCCTGGTGATTTGTGAGGAGTTTCCAGAATTTATGAGGTCAGGGGTCAAGTGAGAGGTTGTAGGTCACAAGTCCATCAAGAGGCTAAAGGCAGATGAAAGGAAGAGCTGCTGTCTGCCCGCATCGGCCCCGAGACCTGACTTCCATGTCCCACTGCGAGGAGCAGGCCTTGGACAGAGAGAAGGAACCCCATAGACGGGGACACACAGGCAGCCTCCTTCCCCAGGTCGCTCACTGGCCTCCTGTTCAAGGTGAGGACTAGCTCAATCTTGACCCCGTCCCCTTTAAGCATGAGCATGGGGCAACTGAGAACTGACATATTTAAAAACACAAACACCCTGGCAGCTTCAATAAAGAAAAAAAAAAAGTCTGAAGTTAAAGAACAACAAATGGAAATGAATGAAGACTGCACTTTCCTCAGCAGCCTGACCCTCGGTTTCACTTGGTTTTACTACTCTTATTCCTCCTTCACCTTGATTTTCTCACTTATTCCACCCAAATTGCTAGAGTGACGTGGCATACGACCAACTAACCGACAGCTGAAGCAGCGAAGAGCTCAATGCCATGGCTCCTCACAGGAAGCTGCAAGTTCTCATGGGAAGGCCAACTCTTTCCTCTCGCTAAATTCCAAGACACTACGCATGCGTGACTGGCAGAGCAGCGTGGGAGAAAGACACAGCATGCTGAGAGATGTTCAACAAATGGCGGGGGTGGGGGGATGGCGTTGGAGGGAGGCTGATTTGCAGCATTTCCCAATTTCTGTGGTGTAAATGCTCCAACCATGGCTGATTTCAAGCGACCAGGGAGACGTCACTGAGATGGAGCTGGAAGAATGTGTAATGTGTACAACTGGCTGCCGTGAGCCCATATGAGCCAGCCCTGGCCTGGGCATAAGTCTGGCCTCCTTACTAGCTGCGTGTCTTGGAGAAAACTGCTTTACTTCATGAGCCTCATCTACAGAATGGGAATGATAATCTCTGCCTCCCGGACAGGAAAGTGCCAGATATGGTAGCTATTTAATAACTGAGACCAAATCTTTCTATGGGGGCACTGACTTCTGAAGGCCGGTGCCTTCTCTTGCAGATCTGGAGAAAGTGTGGTTCCTCACAGGGCCCTGGCTAGGCCGGGCAGCCCTGCTTTCAGTAGAGGGACTCCCTCGGGCCACTGACATATTGGATCTCTCAGCAGGTCTGAGAGACTCCTGCCCTGGCGAGGGTTTGGCCAGTGAGCAGCGGCCACCAAGCAGCCTCTCTGACCTCATCAATGGCTATTGTCAATGATGGGCTGAGTCCAGGGTCACCCCTCACTGCTCATATGGTTCTCGTGGCTCCCTGCTGCCCACAAACAGCCAAGGAGTTGGTGTTCCAGCTTCTTCCCAGCTTCACCTCCCACCACCTCCTACACGTAGTCCGTGGGCCCGCAATCCCACACTGCCCGCTGAGCATCCCCCTAGAAGTGCCCCATCCACCCCTTGCTTCTCCTGTCTTCCATAAACAAAATCCTGGGCCTCTCCCAAACTCCACCACTTCCACAAAGCTTCCTGACTCTTGGGTTATACTCCCCGTGTCTCCCCCTCGCCACCACCCCATGTTAATTTCCCAGGGCTGTGCCGCCGCTGGTTCAGGAAATTGATGCTGATCAAGGAGATCTGTGCTTTCTTCCTAAGCTGGGAAGAGCCCAAGGCCCCCTATTAAAGCTCAGGCTTATATGTGCTGAAGAAAGGGAGATTGAATTTCCATTCCCAGCCAGAGAATCACAACTTACGAGAAGCCCTGCTAATCATCACCAACCATAAATTGTCACCGGGGAGCTGATGCAGCCCTGAACCTTGGACACTAGACAGAGTATTAAGCTTTAGAAATCAGTTTTCTCCCATATGATGGACTTGCCATCAGGTGATCTTTCTTTTTGAGAATCTAGACTTTAATAACGAGCCAAGTCGTCCTTGTTGTTTTGCTCGCAAAGGATAATTTGGGGGAGTAATCTAGTTGAATGGCACTAAGCAGTGAAGCCCTGGAGCTGGGAAGGTGGCCCCGAGTCCCCACCTGTGATCAGCCAGTCTCAAAGGTCTCTACTTTAGTCCCCTGAACAACCGTGGGAGAGGAGGGCGAGGCCTCCGTCTTCCCCCTCAAGACCTGAGCCGTGGGCATGTGATTTGTCCTCCTCGCTCAAGATCCACACAGGCTCCGAAGCACTTGGTTTCTCGCCCAGTTGCCCCCAGAGCCCCTCTTTCTCTCCAGCGGAGGGAAGGGGTGGCCGGGGTCATTGGCAGGTGGGCTGCAGGGCCTCTTTACATTCCTAACAATCACAGAGGAGCCCAAAGAGCTTCTGTATGTGCTTATGTGCTATAGCTATTAATATTTACAAACAGGGAAATTTATATTAATTAATTTAAAAATAGAAATTAAAACCTTATCACATGTCAACATTAATATATTTTTCATTAAAAACTACATTTTCCAAAACAAGGGGAGAGTCAGCTGAGAGGAGAGTCCTTGCAGAGGAAAATGGGGAGGTGGATACGGATTTTTGTCTATACTGTTTGAACCCCTGGGGGTGCAGGTGGGTCTGAAGCCACGACCCCCGACTCTCCAGGCACTCGTCACCTCTTGCCTCCACTAGGATGAGGGGGTGTCTCTGTCGGCTGCGCCTGCTGCAGACTGGATGCTGCAGGGGGCGGGGGACTGGTGGTGATGCTCCAGAGGGTCTGCCTTGCTCTGTATGGCTGAATGCCACTGTGTGCCTCCTCCAGGAAGCCTTCCTTGATAACCCAGCCCCAAGGGCCTCTGGATGCTCATGTTCCCCTTGCCCCCAGCACTGATGGGGTGGCTATGTTGCTCCTCTCTGCTCTCTGTGTGACTCAGGCTGAGCTCTGAGCCTTCTCAGTGGCCTCACTGTCCAATACAGGTTCCTGACTGGGAGGGGGACACTTCGTGCCTCTGTAGTGGAGGGAGGGGAAGTGGAATGAAACCTTGCCCCTCCTCCCATGAAGGTCTGGAGCAGAGGTCTGGGGTCTCATACCTGAGCAGCCACTGTCCTGGGGGATAGGCTGATGTGGAATGGGCAGCTGGGAACAGCAGCCACCAACAGGGAGACTCACATGCTCACCCCTGTGTGGAAGGCCAGAGTGAGACTAGAGTCGCTCAGCCTGAGCGCTTCTGGAGGTACTGTCACCCTAAGATGGTTGGTCATTAGGGCATTGCCATCACATTTTAAAATGACCCTGGCAACCACTCCAAAGATGGCTACAACTGCCCAGGCTGCAGTTGTAGGGAGG